CTTCTATCTTCTAAGTTTCAAAGAATTAAGAATAGTTTGATTTTTAAGATTTTTTTAACAATAACTTTAACAGTATTGTCCATAATATACTGAAATTACTTTACAAGAAAGCAGTAATTTCAATTTGATTTTTTGGTTCATTTTTGTTTTGTTTTCATTCATAAAAATGCAATAAAATAGATTGAAATAGTTGTGATCATTGAAAATACAAATCTGTGACTGGTATCAACAATTACGTTGGAAAACAATTAGATTAGTGGAATGAAACGAAAGTCTCGTTAATCGCTGATCCAATTTTCGATAAGTGTTCAATTAATCTCTCGCAATTACGTAACGCGTCGCAAATTCGAAAGCGAAAACTTTCATCGTAGGAGAGTTTGATTAATTCCAGGTGGTAATATCATAAATCGTTCATAATTATATAGTATTCGTAATAATCGCAGACTTTAATCTTAAGGTGTTACAATCAATATCTAAAGTAGTTTGTTAAACAATTAATATTATTAATATTATCATATAATGTGTAATTATCAAGAAATTTATGTAATTTATTAAGACAAAAGTGCCGTTGATTTCACTTTATACAGTCTCTTTTTGTGCAGTTTATTTTTTGTACGTATTTGGTTCATCTATTAGTCCGGTTTGAAATAATCCGGAATATTGCCAGAACCGCACTATGCAAGATAATCTTACTTATATTAAATTTTTGAAGAAAGAAGTGCTTAAGACAACTTTAGAAATAAGTTTTTCTTCATTTTCAGAGAAAAGCTTTGTAAAAAAAAGAAAATACATTTTAATTTATTTCCCTTTATACAGTAAAGTCTCTTATTGTGCGGTTTATTTTTGTATGTGTTTCGTTCCTCCATTAGTCCGGTTTGAAATAGTTGGGGAGTTTGGCAGAACCGCACTATAATAATGTTATTTATATTATATTTCTTAAGAAAGAAGTGTTAGACAAAGAATTAAACAAAAAGATTTATGTGAATTTCTTAAGATAACTTCAGGAATAAGTTTTTCTTCAATTTCAGAAGAAAAAAACGTAATACTTTTTAATTTACAAAGGAAATTTGAAACAAAGGAAAATTAATTAAATAAATGAAACGGTAAGTTAATGTTAAACCTCTCAGCTCTTTCAGTGAAACTATTTATGTTGTCAAAACTTTAGTTTTTTGTGTGAAATAAAACTCTTCTTTTGTATACAAAGAATGAACTTTAATGAATTATATATTTTCCATTTTGTCCCATGTCCTTTTCTCATCTTTGATTTAGAGGTCATAAACAAATCAGCAAAAAAGAGAACCAAGTGTGATCAAATCATCATATTTAGTGAAAGTTTAACCATTCGAAGAGTTTTGAAAACTTCGAAATAAATGGTGATCTGATGATACAAGATCAGGACAGCTCAACCAAGCTCCAATTATTTTAGTTACCATAGAAGTGTGAGGTTTTTAGTGAAACAAGATTTGCCAATTCTGGTAATTTTCTTTGATTTTTAGTTGTTGGTAGTAAACACCTGAATTGATAGTTTGGTTCTTTGGATGCAGCTTAAAATACACAACACCTTTGTAATCTCACCAAATTGATAGCATCATGTGTTTTTCAATGTGTTTGATCAAGCTTGGATCATGATAATAAACTTCAGTAGATTGACCATAGCTTGTCTTACTGCGCGCTTTTATTACTACGCTCTTTTGACCTGCGCGATTTTGTTATGGTGCTGAAAAATCATAACATTTGTCAATTTTCTTCAAAACTAACACAATGCTATTTGTGAAAACTGAAATGACTCTTGAAAATCCAATATAATAGCTCAATTTAAGCATAGAACAGCTAGATTTATCTTTCTTTCTTAATTTTTCTATTTACAAGAAAAACTTTTAAAAAGAGGTAAATCCATTAATCAATTAATTAAATGTCAATATTGGTTTCCTTGTTTTCCAGAGTATATTTATAAAAAAAAATCATAAACTTCAGTAGGTCGACCATAGGTTGTCTTACTGCGCGCTTTTGTTATTGCGCTCTTTTGACCTGCGCGCTTTTGTTACGCACCAAAAAAATCATAACATTGACAAAAGTCCTTGAAAACTAACACAATGCTATCTATATGTGAAAACTGAAATTACTTTCTTGACAATCCAATATAATAGCTCAATTTAAGCATAGAACAGATAGATTTGTCTTTCTTTCTTGATCTTTTTTTTCTATTTTCAAGAAGAACTTTGAAAAAGAGGTAAATTAAGTATTCAATTAATTAAATGTTAATATTGGTTTTCTTAGTTTGCTGAGTATATTTCCGTATATTTACAAAAAAAAAACTCTTGAATGTAAACAACAAACAAAGATACTTATTTATTTCCTTTCAATTTACAGAGGAAGTTTGAAAGAGAGGAAGATTAATTAATTAAATGGAACGTACTATATAGCATAACACTAATAAACAGCAATTGGAAACACTTAATCAATCCGGACAAACATTTATTTAAGCTGAACCCAAGTGTACCGAAATACCTAAATGAATTAGACTCACAGCACGAACAAACTCATTAAATCTCAATTAAATATATAAGCAATATATAATTTAAAGATTAAGTTCATTAAATGATATAAATAGAATAAAACCTTGCATAGTCCGGCTTCGATCAGTCCGGATTCATCATTGAAAATGTTAAAAAAAACTAAATTAGTATATTTTCTCCCTTTATACAATCAAGTATTTTGTTTCTTTATGCTCGATTAGTCCGGGGTTTCGAAAAGTGGAAGCCGCACTCTTCGAGGTTTTGTTGTAATTAATTTAAAAAAAAAACTTGACTAGAATATATGCATCTGCGGAGGTAGTAAATCTGTAATGAAAGATGTAAAATAAAGTGAACGCAGAGAGTACTTTCTTACGTACGAAGAAGATATTGCGCTTAAAATAACTTGAGTATTCTAAATTGGAAACTTCGGTACTATTTAAGAGTCCAATAAATGCCCGTTTCCAATTAAGAAATCAATAAAACGCTATGAACTCGAAGAGCCAATAAACTCAAAGTAAATGTACGTTTTTCTTTTTTTCTAAAAATACATATTTTTTTGCTACACACAATTCATTACAGATTCTCATTACGTGCAAAGAAGAACTTCTGAGAACAAGTACAATCATGATTGGTTTTAAGTAGATTAGAATAATATGCGATGTATATAACAATTTTAATTAAGTCTTCAGGTTCTTGTAAACTTTCTGTTGACAAAAAACGCGGATTGCCTGGAAAAGCTTGTTTACGCATCGGAACGAACTGGAAACGAAGCAAACCTTGAAATAGATAATTGTTTTATGCTAGCAGAGACGTATATGTTTTTCCTTTTTATATTTGATACGATTAATTGGTAAATTATAATGATTTATTTCGTGAAGTTAAAAGAAACTACGCAATATTTGCGTAATTGTATATATAAACGGTATCAATTCGAGAAATTAGATGCATTTCTCCTTATAAGGTTATTTATCGCAAAATGACAGCTGTCATTGAATATATAAACGGTATCAATTCGAGAAATTAGTTGCATTTCTACTTATAAGGTTATTTATCGCAAAATGACAGCTGTCATTGAATATATAAACGGTATCAATTTGAGAAATTAGTTGCATTTCAACTTATAAGGTTATTTATCGAAAAATGACAGATGTCAAACTGTCAATTTACGTCAAACGACATATGTTGAAAAACTTAAATTTCAGGAAAGTTTCAAAATGAAAATTATATTGAAATAATGGAAATTAATTTAAATTAAACTCATTATATAAAGATGAATAATAATTAGAATTAATTACATAATTAGTGTATACAAAATTGATTTATTTATATTTAATACTAAAAAAAATGTATTACAAAATCTGTACGAATACAAACCAATTAAACATCAATGGATAATGAATAAATTATTTTGAGAAAAATTGTAGTAATCAAAATGTTACCAATTTGATAATGAAAGAAAATGCTAAAACCTTGTAAAAGATCATTGTTTCAATTCGGATTTAAACTAGAATCTTATGTAATTAATCATTAAATAATTTTGATTATAGAATTAAAATACTTTGGGACAAGGTGAAAAATATTTGAGACAAATTTAACTAAATTAAGCTTTAAAGTAAGTAAAGTTAATATGACATTAATTATTTCATTACTTTAATTAATTAAAAACAACTGTAATGATTCTTACAAATATTATAGTTTTTTTTCATAAAGGACAAAATATATATATATTTCCATGTTTTTAGTGTTTATAAAAAGTGAATTTTATTGTAAATTAAATGAATTAATTTAAAATTTCAATCAACTATATAAAAAAAAAATTTCTTCATAAAATATGAAATTAAATTATTAATTTATATCATATATTTTGATTATGAAAACTATAGAATATTCTTTGTAAATTCAATAAAATTAATTATAAGAAATTCGGGATTACAATTTGTATAAAAGCATTAAGACAATAGATTTACAAATAAACAGATTATGGAATCAGACGGTATTATTTCACGGAGAATTGGCGCCAAAGTAGATTAGGTTTAGGCTTCAGATTAGGAGAGAATCCTGTGTTCAAAGCGAATATTCCCAATGCGTAGTTTATCACCTCTAGTTAACTATTCCCTTGATGATATCATGAAAACAGCTTTATTTCAACAAGTAATTACTACAAATATTATCTTTCATTAATTTCATTGATAAAAACACAATAATTTTAATTTCTCTCATTTATATTGAAAGTCAAATATTTTCCTAAACCTCCAATTAATTAATTCATTCAAATTATAAAAATATTCATGAATGAAACAATTAATGAAACATACAAATCATATTATATAATTTAATAAATAATTACTAGAATTTTTCGAATTGTTATTTCATAATGAAACTAAGTATAATTATTGATAATTAGTTTTAGATAATTAAATATTTTGCATGAAATATGATTATTATCTACTACGTCTAATAATTAACATAAAGTAATAATCTTACTTGTTGAATAATTTTGTCCTTCTTTGTGTTGTCTTTATTCTCCTTCCAGCTTCTACTTTACATCTCGTGTAGAATCTGTTGTATTATTCTGTGTTGTTGATATGATTGTTGTTGTTGTTTTTCACTACTGGGAGGACATTCTGTGGGCTTATCCTTCCTTCGTCGGGTGACCACAGCAAACTGGCGCTTCGCATTATCAACGGCGCTGGCATTTCGTCCTCCGTGGAGGCTCAGCCAGTGCACATGTGCCGTTGCACCCACGCACCTTCCATGTATTTGTGTATATATGTATATTACACATACACACAAGTCTGTATCCACGTAGATTCGCTTTGTATGTATACTCGCTTCTCCTGGCGTGTCCTGACCATGCTCAACAACTACATGCATGCATAATAGATGCAGCAGGGAGGAAGGAAAAGCGTAGATAGTGCCGTAATCAAAGTGCAAAAACAAAGTTTAATTAAAATAAAATAACATTAAAAAAAAACTATTGTTTGTCAACAAGCGTCAGCGTTTGCAAAGGAAGGTGGATGGATGGTTTCAAGGCTCGCTGCAAGAGATGTCCGAGATTTCACTGTACCGTGTTATGCAAAGTAGATTCCCACTCGTACACTTGAATTCAGAACGTTGTTCATTTGCGGTTCTAGCAATTAACAACATCATTAATTCATGATTTCATTAAATCTTATACAAATTTGTTTAGTTATTAATGCAAATACTAAAATAATATAAAAATGTCATTTTACTGTCATTTACTTTGAACATGTCACTAAATGTCAATTACATATATATTGTATACAAATGAAATCTCAACATTTCAATTAAAAACACCATACAAAATTGAAATTTAAAGAAATTCATACAAGAAATGTCGATGCAAATGTGTATTAGAAATGCTATAAATAATCATTAGTAAATTCCAACTATATGATTTGAACATATTACATAATAAATTATGTTTTCATTAATTACAAACTTATGCAAAAATAAACGACTTTCTGTAACATTTCAAAAACATTTTAATGTAAATGTAATGTAAACTAAAAATGTCATTTAAATGTCATTTGCATGTAATATGACATTTAATTGTCAATTACATTAAAATTGTAAATGAATTCCAATTATATGAATGAAAACTCTGTATATTTTACATATAAAATGAGAAAACAATGGATTTTATCAACACAGAGGTATAAAGGTTTTTACAAAATGAAACATTAATGAAAAATTATTTAAATCTGTCTTTAGAAATTCGTTTTTCAAAATATATTTTTTAGAAACGAATAATTTTTTGGAAATTTTGCCCATGAGCAAACAATTAAATAAATTTTCATATCAAGTTATCTGCACGCAGTAGTGACCTTTTACTAAATTGTTTATAATTAAAGTTTATACTAAATTTACAGTATTGAAAAGTAGTACATGGTAAAACATGGAATTATTTGTGTGTTAATATATGATAATAATGATATAATGATATCAAATCTTAATTTATAAATTAATAAATAAACAATTTCAATACATTTTTAATGTTGTTTTTTTTTGCATTTTTAATATTAGATAAATTAAAGTGATAAATCATTGAAATATTGGATAAGAATGTAATAACAATACCTCACATAGTTATGAAAACGCGCCTTGTCTGCGTCGAATTGAATCACAGCGGTTCTAAAACGTTTAAACAATTGTCACAAAAACGCAAATCAGAGACGTTGCGATAATGTAGATATAGTTACAAAATACGAATAGTTGAGAATTCGACACACCTGCCTAATGATGAATCTGCTGCAGGTGCGAATCGTTAAACAATTTTTTATATGTTCACGAAAATTACTGCGTTTAGTTTTAAATTTACAGAATTATCCAATAAAAAGACATAAATTAATTGAGAAATATTTGTTTTATAAAATTGAAAATAAAATTTTCATAATAAATATGTAAAATTAATTGTTTATTATACATTAACTATGTTATTATACATTCATGTTTTTTATATAAATTAATAATCAAACAATTTATTTTTTTACTTGATTTAGTAAAACTACGTATGAACAAGAAAATGAATAACCGATTATCCTCATAAGAATTAATGTAAAATTGATATAAGTTATTCTATTTTCTTAAAAAACAACGTTTTTTACAGTTTTTAATATTATATTGGGTGTTAACATTAGTTCTGTATGTATTTTTCTTTATTAATTATTGAACTATCTACTAAGACCTGGAGAGTAAAAGGTACTATATAAAATAAAAAACAACTTGCCATATAATTATTTTAAAATAATAAAATTATACCTCGATAATAGAATGTTTCAGGTAAAAATAGAAGACGAATCAGGGGTGTTGCAGGGAAGTGTTTTAGGACCACTGCTTTACCTTCTATACATTAAAACTAACAATACTACGATTGCATCATTCGCTGACGACACAGCATCAGATGAGAATCCAGCATCTGAATATCTACAGGAAAATTTAGATAAGCTACAAAAATGGCTTAAAAATGAAGTATAGTAGTTAACGAAATGAAATCCGTGCATATCACATTCACACTAAAGAAAGACACCTGTCCAACTGTAAGACTTAATGGACAAGATCAGCCCAAAGCAAGAAAAGTTTAGAAAACTCTACTCGCTTCTAGGGAAAAGGTCGGAATTATCAGTGGAAAATAAATTACTTATATACAAAGTAATACTGAAACCAGTAAATCGAACATACAAATTATACAAAGGTTCCAATCAAAATGCCTAAGAAATATTATTCATGGCTCCATGGTTTGTCAGGAATAAACAAATACACGAAGATCTTCATATAGATATGGTCGAGGATACAATAGCAACATTTAGTAGATACCAAGATAGACTGGAGTCACAATGTTCTGGTTATTGGCCTACTCGACAACAGTGAAACCCCAAATAGGCTGAATCGTTGCAAACCACTAGATTTAGTATATAGATTTAAGTAATTATTAATGTTCAAATCATCATAATGATAACTATCACATTTACTTATTTAATGTTCACATTGATTGTGAACAGTTTGTGAATAAAAATATTATTGAAAAAATCCCTTTATATGGTTATAAAAACGCACATCGTGTACGTTGCGATGAATATTAGCGGTTCTAAAACGTCTAAACAGACTTCAATGACGTCGCGACAAAACAGCTGCGAACGCTAAACTAATGTTTCTATGGTTACAAATAGTCTCGAATAGTCTCGAATCGTCACGAGTCTGTTGCACCTGCGAGCACTAAACAAATTCTTATATGGTGTTGAGAACCTGCCACACCTGCGTAACGATGAATCATCTGCAGGTGCGCATCGTTAAACAAATGTTTATATGTGCACGAAAATTAGTGCCTTTTGTTTCAAATTTTCTGAATAATTCATCAAGAATTAATAGATAAAATGTAATAAATAATTAGTAAATTTAAAAAAAAAATTGCGATTCGTTTACGTCAGTGATTCTCAAACTCTTTGGTACGCGACATAAAAAGTTTCTACGACCCCCCGAAGAGTGAGTATATGTAGAAAAACAACCAGGATCGATCTGCGACCTCCGAAATATTTATTAGGTAAAATTGATTAAAGAAAACAATCTTAGAAAAATGTATATATAAAACAGAATTATATGAAAATGTATAAATGTAGAAATAAATTTAGCAGATTTCAATTAGACGATGGAAACTACTACGCTTTACGAATAAATTGATAAATGTGTGAGATTTAGTAAACAGGAAGATATAAAGGTCATCTAAAATGAAACAGTAGAGGAAGTTAACGCAACAATTCAGATATTCTTAAGTGCCATAAAAATGTGTTAGCTATAAATATTTTTTAACTACTCAACGATTAAACCTTTCACTAACACTGCATGCATTTATTTTAGATTTGATTAACAGATGCTGCATCTACTATTATCATTATGTAACTGAAGAAAATTTTATGTAATGAACATTATCCAACTGAAATATAAATTAATGAAACTGAAAAAAAGTAAATTGAAAAATATCATAAATTTTTGAAATTTATATATTTTATTTAGAATAAAAAATATAATTTATATTTTTCTTATACTTGCAAATTTTAATACAATTTGTGTTAAATTCATAATATTTTCTGGTATTTTACTCATATGGTTGATGATGTTTATTTGTGTTTTATTATGTGTCAGTATATTACACATAATTCTAGATTTCAGGGATTTGTTTCATATAAATCCTTGTGAAAATCTCTTTGATCTCTCCCTACGCTATTTGCTTGGGATATTCCAAACATTTGCAACATTATTAATTTCGAAATACACGTTCACTACATTTCATGAATAATAAATTATTGAAATATCAAAATAGTTCAAATAATTTGTGTCAAAGCAATTTTTAAAGTTAATTTTATTGATTCTTAGATTTTTATATAAAAATACTGAAAGGTTGCTTTTATAATATTGTTTACGTAAATCACTGTATTAGCTTTATCTAGAAGGAAAAAAATTGGATAGAATCATTTCTGAGTTATGAGCAATTTTCTTGATGCGACACATTTTCCGGATGAAAAATTAGGTCGAGCAAAAAATATGTATACAATATGCGAAATCCCATTTTCTTTGGATCATATCAAAAACAAAACATATAGAAACGCAGATTACATATGCATCATATTTTGTTGTTCATGTTGAAATTAGTTCAGAAAATACATCAGTTTTTTCAATAACAACATTTTTTGTTGGAATATAAGATTTAAATTATATTCAAACGTAATTTGTATTTAATATCAATGTATTTTGTAACATGTTTATTAAAAATTTGGTTTTCCTGAACAATAATATAAATTATGATAAATTTCTATAATTTTTCCAAAATATTAATAAAATTTCTCGAAAAATATATTACTTAGAGTCCAATCTTATATATTAACAATACAGCAATACCTCGCTTAGTCCGGCTTCGATCAGTCCGGATTCTGTATAGCCTGACTTGAAAATTTCAAAACAAACTAAAATAATACTCGAAATTATTTTTACATATAAATGATTGATTTTTCGCTTTATGTAGTAAAGTCTCTTTGTGATGTTTTCGATTAGTACGGTTTCGAACAGTCCGGGATATTGATTGAATTTATTACTAGTAGAATACAAAATAAAAAAATGAAATTCAAACTAAACAAACTAAATTTTAATTGAGAAAAATAAATTCTATA